TATATAAAGGTCAGTAGGTGCTATCGTCAAAATGCATCAAGTGGATTAATATTATTTTTATAATTTAAAACAATTTATTAATTTAGTATCATTAAAAAGTACGTATAATTTAAGAAAGCTAAGGTAGGCCCGTTAATGATAGATAGTTAAGAAGCAAAGTGTTAGGTTACCGAAGAATGGTGTATTACAAGAGTTTTAGATAAGTGTGGAATAGTTCTAAAATTATGGAAGACTAGCTGTCGCCCGCGACATTTTATGCATGGGATTTAAAAAAAAACTTAATTAGTAGCCTATGTGTTCTTTCATGCTATGTTCATCATCTATGCCAAATTTCAGCGAGATCCGTGCAGCCGTTCCAGAGATACCTTCAAACAAACATCCATCTATCCATAAAATATTCGTATTTATAATGTTAGTAAGAAATAAGATTTAAAGCGATGCGCCGTACAACAACTTGATTCACTAGTATAGTGGGAAATTATCAAATCTGATTTTGGAAAGAATGAAATGTAGTAAAAAAGTACTATTTAAAGCAAACGCAATAATTTCAAATTGATAAAAAAATTTATTCCATTTTCATATCATATTTACAATTGCATATTTACAAAATATTGGCCATCGCATGCGTGTTATGGCCAACACATTCCAAAAACTTGCATCGCCTTAAGTAACCATGTCTGGAAATTCTTCACGGACGTGTCATTTTTCATTGCGACAAAACCTTTATACCAAGTGGATACGATACAATCATAATAAAATAGCAACTCTCTTTTGAATCCTTTATTGCATCTTTCGAATCCTGGATGTATTGCACTTGGTGTGTTCTTACAATGTATACTATTGAACTGCACATCATAAATAGGTATATGTCTTGTGACAGCTACTCTGGGCAATCCAAATTCCAGATCTAGTATCCAAGGCGTATGGTCGCTTATATCTTCCTGATTACAAAATACATCTATGATTTGATTTGGATCGATTGTAAACATTCTTGCGGTAGGAAATAATTCCTTCGGCAGTCTTAGATAGTTTTCTATTGACTCTTCTATTCCATCTGAATTGGTTGATTCAGTTGGTGTCAATTTGGTATCTGCTACTTCTTGGGTTGCGTTAGCATTGTTATTTATGCATTTTATAATTTCAGGCTTATAGTTTACTAGTTCATAGTAATTTTCTGGTATTGGTACTTCTGATATAGTTGGAGAAATAGGTATTATAGGTTCAGCAATTGCTGTACCACAAAAACATAATGATGGAGCAACTGCTGTATTTATAATTTGTGGACTTATGGTTACAAATGGTACTTGTACAGTTGTGTACAAAGATGTTGGTACTGTTATTATTGGGTTCCAATCGTTGATTGTAATTGGAAAATTATAAATTTGTTGAGGCATATACTGAGCATATGTAACCATATTTGATGTATTCTGAATATCTTTGAAATAATTGGAGTAATCTTCGAATTTATATTTTTCTACAAAAGTTTGCTTTTCGTTTATATAATCGATATTATTTTCATTAGTTTGATTGGAAATTTCATGTTCAATTACATATGGTTTAGTATATTTTATTTTTTGATCGTTTTTGTAATTTTCTTTATTGTTTATTCCTTCTTGTTCTGTTGATGAATACGGAGCCATTGTTCACATTCTGATTACTATCAATTACTTCTAAAGCAATTCAATCTTACTTACTGTTTGACTTGACTTACTGTTTTTCCTTTAGATAATGGAAATCTTCCATTATAACACATTTGAACATAATACCGAAAATAATATGACCAATGTAACATTTGAAGTGTTAAAAATTTAAATCATTTTTAGTAAATTTTGAATACAAATGACGGTATTTCGTAATATACAGATTATAAATGTTTATTGAAGTTTGTAACTACGCATACATTTTGATGTTTTAATTTTATAGTTATAAACATAACAATAATTTTAGTAAGTGTTATATTAGGGAATAGTAATATAAAAGGTATAAATTTTCTATAAATTAAAAGTAAAATTTTTAAACTTAAGTTTAGTTTTGTCTATTAGTTGAAGGTAGAATGGATTTTTATTTCGAAAGACTGCAACGCTGCGAATTGGTTTCCGCTTCTCACGTCGCGCCTAACGATATCTATTGTGTGTACAGTTCATTTCCGTTTTTAAAAAATTCTTAACTTGAATTGAGGATTTTTTTGAATGAAGTTAAAAGATGGAGATAATTTCGTATATTAAGCGAAATATAGATATTGTTAAAATGTAAACAATCTGTAAATATCTTCTTTATTTCGTTCTTAATTTACTATTTACAATAAATTCCATGAGAGTAATTAATTTAGTTGTGTTGTGTGATAATTCGTCTTACAACTTTATTTTTCATTCGCGCCAATTCCATAATTTTTTTTATCTTTATATTTTTTCTTAGTGGTATGTCGGTGGCCAGTAATACTATTATTTTAAACGTGGAATATGAGTGTTGTTTATATTAAGAAAAAGTAAACACCAAAGTATTAGGATTTTGGAACGTTTTATGTTCTTATATTATGTTGCTTTACACACGTTCACTTAGCGTTAGTTCCTCTGTAACTTTAAGTAATTCAAGTGTTTAAGTTAGATGATGACATTAAGGTCCCTAAAATTGTCTTGTCTTGTCTATGGTAGAATAATTAAGTTTACTTTAATAATTTAAACAATGACGCTTGTCTTCATTGTTGTGGTTTTGATTTAATTATTCATGTTTGTTTGTGAAAAGGCTTATACATATAGAAATATATTTTTAATCTATAAACAGGATACTAATTGGTCACCATACTTCATACTAAATGCAAAATATATATATATATATATATATATATATATATAAAAGAAAGTCGTGTTAGTTACACTATTTATAACTCAAGAACGGCTTTACCGATATGGCTGAAAATTGGTGAGGAGGTAGCTTAGAGCCAGGAGACGGACGTAAGATACTATTTATTCATTTTTTTCGAATTTGTGCCTTGAAGAGCTGCTTTATATTTAACTTACTAATATTAACAATGCCAATGTTTCGATGGATGATGCGAGAATAGTATAATGACTTCATTGTTCAATGTTTTATTATAAAAAGTACAAATTGTAGTATTATGTTAAACAAACTCCTTACAGCGTCTGGTCTTTTATGAATAAAAGTTTGGAATAAAATATTCTTTGATACAATCTTATTCTCATTTGAATAATACGATTGCAGTAACTTGTTTTTCAAATTAAAGATAAGGTTTGTTCTTGATAATATTATTGTTACTGAAGCCGATATGAAACCCTCCGATGTGAACATTTAATTTATAGTATAGAACATTTTGTTGTTATCGAATACTGATATCGAATACTAATTTGAATGCATTTTATGTTGATTTCTTTTCTATAATCGAATGGTGAATTATGTGGTTCTAATACTTGAAATGTATAGGCTTGCCTAATGACTTGCTTTTGCCTTTTATTTTTCCTTGAATTTTAACCATGTCGTACTTATATTATAAATGCTAATGTTTGGATGGATAGATGTTTGTTTGAAGGTATCTAGGGAACGGCTGAACGGATAGGCTTAGGAACACATAGGCTACCAATTATGTTTTTGTTCCGCGCGGACAAAGTCCCCGGCGACAGTTAGTATTGATATAATAATTAAGATAGGGTTAATATTTTTAGGTCAGATAGAATTTTGTCTATACAAATATCAGACATGTAAAAATTCTAAAGCTACAAGAAAAGTAGTTATTATAGATGGAGTTTGAAGAAACTAATTGGGATTCAGTTGAGTCGAACTAACTACGATTGTTGTTTGAAGTTACCTCTCATATTGCTTCTTACACTTCTAACATTGTATGAGATTCATGCAGCATCTCGCTATCAGGCATCCAAGTTTAACGACCAGGTATAAGTATCATCACCATCAGCTCACTTAAAACACTGAGGGGCTCAGAGCTTTCCCTAAATTTAGCGGTGGTTACACCCTATAAATGTACCTATTCAAATCGAAAAACGAAAAACACATTCGTAATTGAATGGTTTCGCACTCAGGACCTGCAGATTACAAGTCGAGAGCTTAACTCCTGAGCCACCAACGGTCTATAGAGCGATTGATCTCTTATCGATATAATAACTGTGTAAATATCTAACACGTTTTTTTCTAATTCGTAGTGTTCAATTCATTAAGTTTAAACAAATAAATGCTGACACGTGTCACATGATAACATCAGTCACACGTTTGTTACGACCGTATATTATTGTTAGCGGTTAGCGGAACGATAATTATTTAAGAACTATTACGTACAAGTATTGTATTGGTTTCGGATGAAAGAAGTTTGCATGCAGCTGAAACGCCTATGCTATATATATTTCAAGAAGAATAAGAGTGATAATAAAAAAAAGAGTGATATATATATATAAGTGTGTGTGTATAATAAATTCTATGTACATCTATAAAAAAAAGAAGAAAAAAAGCAAAAAAAAAATAAGAGTGATTGTAATATATTCGGGTTTTTTGTACGAGGTACCTTTTGAAGTCTTACTTGACTTAGTTTAGTTGCCCCATTTAACGAAATTCTTAACAATTTATTCTTTATAAAATTAAAGGTCTTGGGTAAACATTCGAATTTAATACTCTTTTGTTGGTTTACGGTATTCGATATTCCCTTTTATCGTATTGTTGAATATCGACATTGCAGCGTCCCTTTGATGTAGTGAATTCAACAAAGCGGATAAAGATCCCAAAAATTGAACTAAAAAATTGTGAGTTTTTATTTATTAAAAAACTACAAAACGCTAATAATTTATCTAAATAGGAAAATGTTAAGTTAAATATATTTACAGATAGCATTATGTCAGGGACTGAACAAGCTTTGTAGTTTCTTGCATTACACGGAACATTGCGCAATCCATTCAGATCTTTCATACGAAAATACAATATGGATACGGTATAAATATGAATTCCATATTAAATGCTTGAAATAATATGCGTATTTAAAAAAAGCAGAAACCAAAATAAACATTTTACCCCATGTAGTAACATTAGTGATATTATGCTTTGATTATTTCCACACAAACTCATGGAAGCAGGATCTGAAGATTACATTTTAAACAACTAATTTACTTCCATCTATAAACGTATACGTTAACAATAATCCAATTGAACACAGACTGAGGTAACCTAATTAAAAAATTGTCCTTTTGCACTTTTGAAATAGGCTTTTCATCGCGGTAATTTTACTAATATTATAAATGCGAATGTTTAAATGGATGACTGTTTGTTAGAAGGTAAATCCAGAACGGCTGCATAGATCTCGATGAAATTTGGCATAGATGTACAACATAATCTGGAAAGTCACATAAGCTACTAATTAAGGTTTTCTTTTAATTACCCGAGACGCAGTCGCGAGCGACAGCTAGTATTGCTATAGAAGAACAGTGTACCGCATCTAACTTGTCAGCACTTTTCATAGTTCACACTTAAGTCTAACAGTGTACTTTGCATTGAATAGTATTCGAAAGACATTACTAATACACGAGAGAGGCGTTATGTAAGCAAAATGCAGCGTAAAACACCAACTCACGAGTGCACTTTGGGGATAAAAACGTCGAATCCTTAACTGATAAGTTTGGTACACGCTTCTGAGTTTTGTTACACAGCGTGTGAATGTATCCATATTGAGTCGGAGTAGGAAAATGTTTGTCGAATTTGACACCTAGAATCTAAGTGCTTACTCTAAAAGACTAAGACTTTTAGGACATTGAAAAGACTGCTTTGATATTATTTTTAATGAATATCTTAGTAAAATTATAAATGCGCATGTTTGGATGGATGGATGTTTGAAGGTAAGGACGGCAGTATGGATCTCGTTGAAATTTGGCATAAATGTAACATAGCCTGGAAGAACACATAGTCTATTATTATTTTATCCCACACGGACAGAGTCACGGGCAAAAGTTAGTTTTATTATAAATAAAAAAAATGTGTGAAATGTAAAATATTAAAATTTAAAATAATAGTAGTAAAATAAATAACGGTATATTAAAATAAAGGCATTGAATGGATTCGCTTGTCCAGTTGCTAGTGCGTACATTTTTCACAATAATCGAAGTCAATTATTCACTGACATAGTGTCAGGTCGATCATCATTAAACTCTTCTGACACTATAATGCCACTTTATTGTGATATATTTAAATACCTAGCTGTCGCCCGCGACTCCGTCTGCGTAGTATTAAAAAAAACTTAACTTAATAAATATTGAAAAAGTGCTTTAAAATATACAAATTTGCTTTCCAAATTATGACGATTTGTTTGTGAATTGGTAAACAAAAAATACTGTTTGGTTTTACAATTTTCAGTTACGAATTGGAAATATCGCAGCTTGCACAAATATAAAATCTGATTGGCGATAAATCGGTATTTTACGTAGGTACATATTATACATTTTTTTTTGTTACCAAAATGTATGATTTTATTGTTGGTATTGTTAAT